AATGATGGGCTCAAGTATAGCAGGGATTGTGGGGCTGGCGCAGGATCGGGCAGTGTTTCGTTCTGCTGTGCATGGGGTCGCTATGAGTCGGAAATGACTCGATGGTACTTAACAACAACAACAACATTCTTGTTGCTTGACATTACATAACAACAACAAACATTCTGACTTCCCTCAAGAAGGTATCCGGGAGAGAGATGTGACACTACAGGTAGGGTATTCACTCCCTTATAATAACAACTAGTAGATGCCCATTTAGGAGCTCTGGTGGTGTAGTGCCTAAGACATTTGACTGCTAACCAGAAGGCTGGTGGTTCAAACCCACCAGGCACTCCTCAGAAGCAAGATTGGGCAATCTATTTCCATAGAGATACTGCCTCGGAAACCCAAGAAAGGGTCGCTATGAGTCGGATCTGACTTGATGGCAGTGTGTTTGGTTTTGGTTTGGTAGATGCCCATTTTCGTGGAAGCCAGACTGGGCAATCTACTTCCATAAAGATTTATAACCTCAGAAACCCAAAGGGGGTCACTGTGAGTTGGAATCAACTCGATGGCAGTGAGATTTTTGTTGTTGTTGTTTGTTTAGGTGTCCATTTAACAGCTGAGAACAGTGATGAGATTTTAAGTCACTTCCCTAAAGAACACATAAGCATATATTGAACAGTCAGAATTTGAATCCAGGCCTGTTTGACTCATGCTTTCACCTCTGTTAAGAATTTTTTCCCATTTATTAAGAGGGAACCAGTGTGCAGCCAATGAATAAGTGAATGAGTGAATGAACAAATGAATGGATGAAAGCTCATTCATAGGGAATTCACAGTTTATATATTTTGTAATGGTTTATTATACTGGTGAAAGGAGACCTGGTGCTGCAATGGTTAAGCACTTAGCTGCTAACCAAAAGGTTGGCCGTGTGAACCCACCAGCTGCTCCATGGGAGAAAAGACCTGGTGATCTGCTCTCGTAAAGATCACATCTCAGGAATCCCTATGGGACAGTTCTGCTCTGTCTCATAGGGTTGCTATGAGTTGAAATTGAACTCAATGGCATATAACAGTAACAACACTGATATGGGGCTGTGATCATTTTGTGAATGGATGAACTGATAAATAATTAATGTTAACAAAGGCATTTTGGATGAAACATGTTATAGATAGTGCTGAGACTGCCTGTATAGAATAAATACCTGCATGGATTCCTTATTTTCCTCAGATTGACAGACAGCAATGCCTGTTTGTCCTTTTGGATGGATTTTAAATGGAACTGTTTTACAAACATAGTTTATACATATTACTGAACAGTAATACACACACAAACACATTTAAAGTCCATCCTCTTTGCCTTATTCTCAGTTGATTGGAACCTTCTACATATAGGCAGCTGGGTGGTGATTTTCGTTGGAGATATTTTAGTGATTTTCTCCTGTTCTAGATTTTAGGCAAGTTAAGTGTCTCTGCTGGCAAGGTGTCAGGGCTGAGCCTGGAGCCCAGATTTTGTTACTGAAAAGATGTTTCTCTCTTGGGCAGAATCCCCTGCTTGGCCTTTTGCATGAATGTCTGAACCATGTAACTCCATGTTTTCTGTAGGTGTTAGCCGAGGTGCTCACTGGCATCCCTGCGATGGACAATGACCGAAGCCCTGTTTACCTGGTAAGGGAACCAGTCACTTCTGGCTGGGTGGTACTTTTGGTCTCATAGCAACATGGGATAGAGAGGGCAGGGACTCTGCCAGTTTACAGATGTTAATCAGGCCACAGTCCAGAGTTTGATTTACGTTTGAGTGAGTAACTTGAATCATCTACCAGCCAGCGCTCTCGGTTTTCAAGATAATAGAATTTAGAATATTTAGGGAAACCTCATTTCTTTTTCTCTATATATCAGGCAACAAAGTAGTACTTCTGGTCCTCAAGTTGGTAAAAAACAGTAATTTTAGTCCTGTAAAACAGCAGGTTGCTATCATAAAAACAGTAATTTTCATTTTTCCATTTAAAATACTATCATTCCTTCATATGTATATAATCATTCCAAAAAAATAACACAGCCTGAGCCAAAGAGAAGACAGGCATATGAGCCGAACATTTACATTGGGTAGATACACTCCTTGGAGAGATCAATCATGGGAGAATAGAAGGGCTGTGTATGCACAGGGAGACCGCTGGGGGGGTGGGCAGGATTACATGGGAGGGAAGGACACAGGGAAGAGGTAACTAAGGGGAGGAAGTGGGAGGAGAGCTGTTGCATTGTGGGAAATTGCAGTCAATGTCATGAGACAAAGTGTATGTAAACTGCTGTATGGAAAATGAATTTGCTCTGTAAACTCTCACCCAAATCACAAAAAAAAAAAAAATAAAAAGTAACACAGCCTGATCCTGTGTTAAGCACTTTACATACTTTATCTTTTCAGAGCATCTCAACATACCAGTGAGATCAATAAGGTTACTATGTTAATTTCCACATAAGGAAAACAAGGTCTGAGATTTACCTGGGATCTCAGAGTTACTATATGTTAGAGGGAAATTGGACTGAGCTCTCTCTGACTCCATATCCACTACGACATTCTCCTGACTATTTAATTCTCATGACAATCCAACTGTATCAATTCAGTTTTACTTCCATACCTGTTTTACAGAAAACTGAGGCCAAGATAAAGTGGCTTGTCCACAGCCCCCTGGTAAGATGATTGGTACAGCTAGAATTTGAATCCATGTCTTCTGCACAGTTCCATATCCTGTGCAAGTTCTAGTTTCTCTTCATCAGTTTGAAGGGAAGATTCTTTTCCGACTCAATGTCAAAGTCACTGGAACTGATAGCTTTTTTTTTGACTGGGCTCTGGACCCTGGAGTAGAAGCCTAAAGCCTTCCTCCTACACAGAGAAAGTCATGGCTTGTCCCTGTGCTGAACTCCCTGGATTCTACCCCTTTGAGGCACTGGACCCCAGATATTACAGAAAGGTCTTTTGGGGCAGCTCAGGTGTGGTTTCTTGCTGTCTGACAATTTTCTTGAGGTACATTTCCCAACAAGTTCTCTGGGGCTCAGTGGGTTAATGTTTCATGGTAAAGGATGCTTTTGAAGCACTTAAGTGAAATTTTCTAGAATTTTTTTAATGGTTTCTAAAATATGGAAGAGAACATTTTCTTAAGTATGTTCTTGTTAAAAAAAAAAAAAACTAGTTTCTTTCTCTTCTACTAGACCCATATACAATCTCTCATCATCTCCTATTGAGGTACTTAAGATCCCAGAGTAACTAAGATTCCCATCAGGGATGAAAGCTTGCTGACACTGGGTATGGGTCAGGGTGGGAGGAAGTAGGCTTCTCTTCCACAGCTGGGGAAGCATTAGTTGCACTGTGTTTTCTGGAAGGGGGTGCAATATGTTGGTTTCCATCAAAATTAGAAATGCACATACCCTCTGGTATTGCAATCCCATTTCTACACTAGAGAAACACATACACAAATGAGAAAAGACAGCTGAACAAGGATGTTTGTGGTGGCATTATTTACAAATGTGAAGCACTGCAGACAAGTAGGATGTCTATCCATTGGGAAGTAGTTAAAGAAATTATGATGCAGTCATACACACCATGGAATATCAAGAAGTTATAAAAAATAATGAAGAAAAAGTGTATGACTTGATCAATTTTGACATGTATACATCTGTGAAACCATCACCAGATCTAGATAATGAGCATCTCCACCGCTTGCGGGAGTTACTTCTTTCTCTTTATAAATCTTCTCCCTACCCTTCTCCTAGCATCTGCTATTCCCCAGGCCTGTTATGGATCTGCTTTCTGCCAGGGTACAATAGTTTATGTTTTTTGGAGTTCCATGTAAATGAAATCGTAAAGTTAAGTGCTCTGTTTTGTCTGCTCTTTCTCACTTAGCATCATTCCTCTGAGATTCATCCATGTTCTTGTCTATGATAATGGCTCTTTTCTTTTTGTTTCTGAGGGGTGTTCCATTGTATGCCACGGTTTGTTCATTCAGCTGTGAATGGACATTTGGGATTTCCAGTTTCTGACCATTAGAAATAAAACTGCTAGGTACTTTTGTGTGGGGATGTCTGTGTGAACATATGTTTTCATTTCTGCTGAGGTATAATTTACCTATAGCACAGTTCTATGAGTTTTGACAAAATTATAGTCATGTAACTACCACCACAATAAAGATATGAAGCCTTTCCATCGCCTCAGAAATCCCCTCAGGCCCCTTTGTGGTCAATCCCTTCACCTCACTTTCAGCCCCCTGGTAACTACCGATCTAATTTCTGCCCACATAGTTGCACTTTTTTTAGAGTCAAATAAATGGAGCCAAGGGCCTGCACTAGTTTCCTTCTGACTTCTTTATCTTAGCACAGTGCTTTTGAGGTACATCCATGTTGTTTCATGTTATCATTGGTACATTCCTTTTTATTGTTGAGGAATCTTTGAATGTATGGATATAATACAATTTGTTTATCCATTCACCAGCTGCTTTTTTTAAAAAAATTGTTATTGTGATTTGGATGAAAGGTTGTAGAGTGAATTCATTTTCCATATGGCAGCTCACATACCCTTTGTCTCATGAGATTGACTGCAATTTCCCACAATCAGTTGCTGTATATTTGAGTTGTTTCCAAGTTTTGCCAATTCTGACTAAAACAGACATAAACATTCTTATAAAAATATGAAAAAGACATATATGTTCTGATAGAGAAGTATTGCCAAGTGAAAAAAGCAAGTTCAGTACAGTATACCATATAATCCCATTTTTGGTAATAATTAGATGAATGAATGAAAAAAATTATGTCATATATTTTCTTAACTCTAAATTAGGGATATTTAGGATTGGAGGAAGACTTATTAACAACCTGCTGTATGCAGATGACAATCTTGCTTGCTGAAAGTGAAGAAGACTTGAAGCACTTACTGATGAAGATCAAAGACTACACCTTTCAATATGGATTATATGTCAACATAAAGAAAACAAAAGTCATCACAATTAGACCAATAAGCAACATCATGATAAATGGAGAAAAGATTGAAGTCACCAAGGATTTCATTTTATTTGGATCCATAATCAACGCCTACGGAAGCAGCAGTCAAAAAATCAAATGACATATTGCATTGGGCAAATCTGCTGCAAAAGACCTCTTTAAAGTGTTTAAGAACAGCGATCTCACTTAGGAGACAAAGACATGCCTGACCTAAGCCATGGTATTTTCAGTAGCTTTATATGCATATGAGAGCTGAACAAAAAATAAGGAAGACTGAAGAAGAATTGATACATTTGAATTGTGGTGTTGGTGAAGAATATTGAAAGTACTGCTAGAAGAAAGAACAAATCTGTCTTGGAGGAAATACAACCAGAATTTACTTTAGAAGCTGGAATGGCCAGAATATCAGAATCTTACTTTGTAAAATGTTTCTTTTATGTCTTAAGAAATTGTCCACATAATTGTTAATAAAATTAAATTATTAATATAAGTATTCAGTACATAGTAAGTGCTATATAAATGATAGCTACTATTATTAGTTATTATTACTAATAGTTGTTATCACTATTAGCACTCAGCGCCCCACAGCTCACTGGAGGTGTTTCCCTCTTCTTCCCACAGAAAGATTTACTCCTCAGCGAGATTCCGAGTAGCATCACCTCAGTCTGCTCCAGGAAGATGGATGTGGAGAAGGTGATGGCAAAGGAGATCTGCCACAAGTACCTGGAGAAGCGTGCAGGGAGGCTGCCTGAGGACTGCACCGAGGCCCTGGCTGCTGCTGTCTGCCTCTGCTTGCGGAGGCGCAACACCAGCCTGGCTGAGGTGAGGATCCCTGGCTGCAGGCTCCTTATCCAGAACCAGCTCATGACTTGGGAGCCCATCCCTTTACCTAGACATGATTTTATAAACCAGGGCTATATTTGCTTATAAGGAGCAGAAGCTACTGGGGCTCAGTTGAGCAAAAAGAAGAAAGTACATAGATAACGGAACTCCGTTATAGTCTCAGGAACTCCACAGCAGGACCAGACCATCAGATGTCAACAGAACTCTGTGTACTTTTCTCTGAATCTGCTTTATCACTTCTCCCTGCAGCCCCCAGCTCTCTTTTCCTCTATCCTCTTAGGGACGGAATATGGCCCTGCCCCCATTTACACGTTACAGTTTTACCCTCCACTGAGAGACTAAGTCACCATGTCCCAATTCCACCCTACCAGTGAGAGAACCTGATTAGCCTAGCTTGTGTCACATGTCTACCCCTTGTTCAGTCAGGTCAGGTTAAGGATGTGGTGTCAAATACATAAATCTGCCTGCTGAAGTCTTAACCCTCAATGGTGGAAGGTGTCCCAGATCCCAGAAAAAGGGAGCATCCTCATCCTTAGTCCCTTGAGGGGATAAAACATTTTCCTAGGACCATAAGTAAAGGGTGTCAGTTTGGGGGCCATTGCTAGGTCTTTCTGAGGGCAAGATTACTGTTCTAGAGGCTTGTGGAGATCATCTAATCCATTAATTTTCCAATTGTTTCTGACAGAATAGTACTTCTTGGGAATACCTCAGGTGTTGGCAGCAAGAGGGGTTGAAAGAGCTACAGGCCTCACCCATGGGAGAGATACCCATTTTCAATTCTCATAATTTTATGGGATTCTCATTGTGAGTTCTTTTGAGGAAAGGGTCTGGCAGCTGAAAGAACCTTCAAAAACCAGTGCTCCAGTGCAAATCTCCCATTTTACAGATGAGAGGGAGTTCAGGCACAGAGAGATGAGGCCACAGAATTGAATTTCTGTCAGAGTGAGGACCACAGCCTGTTTCTCTGGACTCTGGATTCAGCCTGTCAGACATCTTGCTTGGTGACATGGCTGGAGCTAGAGACCTGAGTCACTGTGTTAAGCCTGGGGTGGTCTCCAGGTGCCCCAGTGCTGGCATATAGTCATTCATGCAGCAGTTCTGTGCTGGGCCCTGGAAATTTGTTGATGAACAAGGCAGACCCAGGCCTACTGGGCTAGGCTCACAGACATTGCATAATAATTGTCTGTGTGGTGAGTGTTAGGATAATGTCTGATGGGGGCTCACCCTGGAGGAATTCCTAAGGAAGTGATGTTTGAGGAGATGAAGAGTAATCTCAGCGGAAGGAATAGCTTGTGCAAGTGGCCTGAGGTGAGAGAGGGCCTGGCACATTCAAGGGCCTGGGAGAAGGTCAGTGGGACTAGAAGACAAAGAACATGAGGTGATGTGGCTCATGATGAGGCTGGTGAAGGAGAAGCACAGTGATCTAGGACTTAGTTGGCACGATAAGGAGTTTTGGAAAGTCACTAAGGATTTTAAGCAGGGGAAAGACACAATTAGAATTATGCTTTAAAATGATCCCCCTTCCTCAACCACATATTCTTTCATTCAGGCCTTCATCCCTTTGTTCAGTTCATTCATTTGTTTAGTGTCTCAGGCTAAGCTGCCACAATGAGGAGACTCCAAAGTACAGTGGTTAAAACTAGATAGAGTTTTTGATTTCAGAAAAAAGCTTATGATGGGTACTCTTATCTCCTTCCTCCCCCAGGTGTATGGCTCTGTGGCTGCTGTGGAGGAGCGGCTCAGAGGTCAGGAGATATCATTCCCGTGGAGTGCACTTTCCGAGGGCACAAGCACCTCTAATGCCCCAGAAGAAACTGATGATGTGGATAATTCTAGCCTCAATGCCACCTCCTCCATGAGAGTGGCATCTTCGGTGGTGGCTGCTTCCTCACCTCTTCCAACAGAGAATGGAGAAGGAAGGCCATGGGCCAGTGGGGAAATGGAGGCCGACTCCCCCTCTGAGGCCTGTGCCAGCCCAGCACCCCCACAGGATGGTAAGCACTTGGAGGTCTAGCTATTTGTACACAGTCACTGTATGCCCCTAACTTCAGCCCAGCACTTACTTCTCCCATCCCCCTATCCACTTGTCCATTTGATTAGTCAGCCATGCACTGATCAGATGATTGTACAAAGAGAAACCTGGAGTCATTCTTGACTCCTCCCTCTTCTTCCTGCCCCCCTGTATTCAATACATCACCCAGTCCTATATTTACCGCCTAAATATCTCTCAACTCCACTTCTTTCCACTGCCATCCCCATCCTAAGTTACAATTCTCTCCTGCTGGGATGAATGCAGTGGCTTCTCTGTGTCCTTTCTGATCCATTTTGGCCCCTCACCAATCCTTTCTCCAGGTGACAACCAGTGTGGTTTTTAAAAAACACAAATCATGTCACCCCTTGTTTAAAGTCCTCACATGACTCCCCATTGCACTTGAGGATAATGTCAAAACCCCACCATGACCAGTAGGCCCTGCGTGGTCTGTCCCTGCCTGCCTCTCCATCCTCACTTTACAACAAACCCCCTGTCCTCATGAGCCACTCATAAAGATACCTTCCATCTCTGACATTTCGCTCTAAATACACCAGACTTCCTTTGAATTAAAAATTAGGAAGACATCTTCAATACAGTGTCCCTGTCCCCTAGTAAACATGGCACAATGAATGTTCCAGGCTTTGGCCATTCTTATTGTTTCACCTCCATGGAGAGGAGAAAAGAAGGAATAGAGAGAGGTTGTAAGTGTTTACTCCAAAACTAGCCCTCATGAGGAGCAACATAGAAGGCTTCCCCTCTGTGGAATGGTGCAGGGGAGGTTATAAGGATTCCCTGCAAAAGCAGAAGTGATGAAAATACCCATCATACTCAGAGCCTGACTCAGAAACTTGATTTAAGTTAAAGACTGATTCGATCTGATTTTCTAAGAATTATAACAACTATTCCCAAATGCCTTTTGTTCAGGTTTCTCTTTTTCACTTTCTTTTTAATGTCAGCTACAGAGACTTCGTGGAAAATCGAGATCAATGAGGCCAAAAGGAGGCTGATGGAAAACATCCTGCTTTACAAAGAGGAGAAACTGGACAGCATTGAACTTTTTGGTGCCTGATCACCAGGACAAAGCTGAGGACCCTTGTTCTTAACAGAAAAGACAAGAGTTAAATCAAGAATAAGACATACTTGGATTATGAGGCAGAATCCAAAAATCTCCCATGAAACATCTGTACCAAACAGCTCCTGGAAGAGAAACTTGTACTTCATCAGAGTGAGTTAGGAGAGAAGGGACCTTGGCTTTCAGAGACATAAAAATCTCAGAAGTTCACTTCCTTTCTGGGATTTAATAGTCAGAGCTGGGTACCAGAGGAGACTGAAGTAAAACCTTGGTACGTGGGCCCAGGATGTGGGTGGATTTGTGGTTCCGAGAAGTGTGTGATGATAACCACCCCAGTACATACTGTTACCCAGCTCTCACCCTGCAACAACTGTCAGAGCATTCTACAACACTGGTACATTTTCCAGAGTTACGATCTCTGTGTCATATTTGCCAACAACCCCTCACAAATTTCGATGCACTGAAAGATTTTCAACATGTGTCCAAATGCAATTTTGTACTCCTCAAGTCCTCATGTTTTAAAATGCCAGACACTTGGCAATGGACTTAGTAGGTTTTCAACTTCCTTTATTGGAAATCTACCAACACAGAGATATTTATTTAGTGTCTATTTAACATCTTTATCTTCCCATCCCACTAATGCTAATATTTTTAATGGAGTATTTGTTTTGAGAATATGTGTTATTTATGGCTGGATAAAGAATCAAGAGAGCTAGAGTTTTATGTCTGATTCTGCAGCTAATTGAGTCATTCATTTAATCTCTGGAACATCAGTTTCCTTGTATGTAAGATAACAAATGCTTGCTTAAATTCCCTTGCTGGGCTTTTGGAAAGAGCAGGTGACACAGTGGCAACAGAAGCACTTTGAAAGTGCATTTGTCCTATTAGATAAATAAATAAAAAGTATTAAATGTATATGTTTCTGCCACGTACCTGACATGAAGTAGATATATTTCTGAAAAGTCATGTTACAAATGGTATTTTAAATTCACTGGCAGAAGCATCCTATATAAAATAATTCTACTGTAATTTTTTTAAAAGTAAAAATATCTTTATACAGTCAGCACATATCTTGTAATTTATTTTGTGTCCAGGTGAATTTGTTCTGAGAAAGTACCTTGTATGCATGAGAGGGACATCATTGGCTTTCTTAATAGCTGTGTGATCTTGGGCCTAATTAGGGAGTTACTTTGAGCCTCTTTCCTCATCTATACAATGGGGAGAATAAAAAGTACCTGTCAACGTAAGGAGCTCTGGTAGCACAGTGCTTATGGCATTCGACTACTAACCAGAAGGTTGGGGGTTCAAACTCACCAGCCACTCCGTGGAAGGATGACAGGGCAGTCTACTTCCATGAAGATTTACCACCTTGGAAACCCAGTGGGGGCTGCTGTAAGTTGGGATTGACTTGATGGCAGTGGGTTTGGTTATTTGGTTTTTTTGGGTCACATCAGTGGTTGTCAGGGTGAGGGGTGGGCCTGCCTGATGAAAATTTAGCAGCACGCCTAGCCAGGACAGCTTTGTATTGATGCCTGGGCCCCAGTCCAGGTGGATAGTGATCTGTCCAGACACCCCTTCTTAAGCTCTGGTGGCTGTGAGGATTCAACAACAGTGTGCGTCAAGTGCCTAGATGGGACCTGGCATGTGATAAACCAAAAAAACAAAAAAAAAAATAACAGTTGCTATGGATTTGATTCCCACTCATGATGATCCATGGGTGCCAGAACTGCTCCACAGTGTTTTCATTGCTGTGACCTTTCAGAAGTAGATCACCAGGTCTTTCTGCTTCTGAGTGGGTTCAAACCACCAGCCTTTATGGTTAGCAGTCAAGCACTTAACTGTTTGTGCCACTTAGTAACTGCAGTGTGTGGTAAGCACCTGACAATGAGAGCAGGATGTTTCAAGGGCTGTTTGAGCAAAAGAGGGCTGACAGGAATAGGGGACTGGTTATCCAGACGTACCTGCATTTCCAGACTAGAGCTTCATAAGTTTTTTTAGACCCTTTGAGAATCTGATGAAAGCTATGGACCTTCTTCCCTCAGCAAGCTGTAAATTCATGAATGCACATTCTGTATATGAATTCCAGGGCTCGAGGGCACCACAGTGTCTTTCCATGAACCCCCTGAAGCAAGGCCTGATTCTTTTTGTTGTTGTTAATGGATTCACAATGCAAAAAATCCAAACAGTACAAAAAGTTACCTGGTGAAAAGGGAATCTTTTTCCCACCAGTCTCTCATTCTTCCCAGAGGCACTGTTCCTAGTTTGGTGACATTCTTCACAGAGGATTTATACATAAGAAAACTTGTCATAGTGCTCACAGTCATTATTCATCAGAGAATGCAAATCAAAACCACAATGAGATACCACTTCACACCCAATAGGATGGTGATAATCAGGACAAGTGTTAGTGGGGATGTGGAGAAACTGGAACCCTCATAGACTGCTGGTGCAAATGTTGTGCAAGAAGTTTGGTGTGTTTTTTTTTAAATGTCAAATATAGAATTGCCAGCGATTTCACTCCTAGGTATCTACAGGAGAAATGAAAGCACATGTCCACACAAAAACTTTGTCCATTAATGTACATAATAGCATTATTCATAATAGACAAAAAGTAGAAGGAACCTAAATGTCCATCAGCTAATCAATGGATGAACAAAATGTGGTATATCTATGCAATGGAATATTATTCAACCATAAAAAGGAATGACTTTCTGGTACATGCTTAAGTAGATGAGCCTTGAGAACATTATGCTAAGTAAAATAAGCCAGTCACATATGATTCTATTTTTATGCAATGCCCAAATAGGCAAGTTTGTAGAGAAAGACCACCTCCTGTGTATCAGTTTGTCATACTGTGGTGGCTTGCATGTTGCTGATGCTGGAAGCTATTCCATTGGTATTTCAAATTCCAGCAGGGTCATCCACCGTGGACAGATTTTAGTGGAGTTTCCCAACTAAGAGTAGGAAGAAAGGCCTGGTGACCTACTTTTGAAAATTAGCCAGTGAAAACCCTATAGGTCACAACAGAATATGATCTGATAAAGTACTGGAAGATGAGTCACCTAGGTTGGAGGACACTCAAAACACAGCGGCCTGACAGTTGACTCAGGCATACCAGTGATCTTGATAGTACAGGACATGAGGTCACTGTGAGTCCGATCAGACTCAACAGCAACTAACAACAAGAAGAGAAATAAACTAGACAAGTGGTTGCCTAGGAGTGCCCAGGAGTTGTGGAAATGACTGCTAAATTGGCCCAGATTTCTTTTTGGGGTGATGAAAATGTTCTAAAATTATGGTGATGTTTACATAACTCTGTGAACATATTAAACATTGAATTGGACATTTTAAATGGGTGAGCTTTATGATATGTAAATTATATCTCAATAAAACTTAAAAACACACAGTAGTTATCCTCAGGTATCAAAACAAAACAAAACACAACACAATATTACATTTATTTTGGGACCCAACTCCTCTCTTCTTTACTATTTTTTTTTTTTGTTGTTGCACATAGGGTATTTCATTAATATTTTTCTGGATCCTGTGGGTTTTTTTCACATCTGTCTTGGCCATTATTCCTCAATAGTACTTTTGTATCATTTCATTCTTTTGGACTGTGTAAAAAGGGTGTGGCAGCAATGTCTTCTAACTTCACAAGGAGAGAGAACGACCAAGATCACCAGCCCAAGGATTATTCCTATGTGGTCAGACATGCTGCCACCCTCCAATCTTACCAGTTCTGACACCAACAGTCTTTCCCAAAAACACTCTACTTCTCTGCTGAGTTCAATAAATCGTTGGAATGGCCACACAGAACACAGTAAGCCTCCTGCATGAAGGCACTCAACTTTCTTGCTCTGTGGTCTGGCACACCCACTGCTCTGTCTCATGCTGGTCTCTTGGTTCTGCTACCTCTGCTGCCATTGTCTCTCTGCCATCATCCCTTTGCCAAAGAGGTCTAGCACAGGGATCTCAGGTCCAAGGATGCATTTTACCTTGTTTTTTTCTTGATGCCAGTGAGACTCCCCCTTTTGGCCTCTGGGATGGCTCATTTTAAGCCTAGCAAGATGGCAAACTGACCAATCCCCACTTTAGGGTTCCATACATCTTATTTCCATGGTCCCACCCACATTAGGGGAGCTCTGGTAGCATAGTGGCTAAGGCACTTGAATACTAACCAGAAGGCTGGCAGTTCAAATCCACCAGCCAGCCACTCCTTGGAAGGAAGATGGGGCAATCTACTTCCGTAGTGATACTGCCTTGGAAACCGAAGGAGGGGTTGCTATGAGTCGGATCCGACTCAACAACACATAACAACAACAACAACACCCACATTACAGGAGCTCTGGTAGCATAGTGCCTAAGGCATTTGACTGCTAACCAGAAGGCTGGTGGTTCAAACCCACCAGCCACTCCTTGGAAGGAAGGTTGGGCAATCTACTTCCGTAGGGATACTGCCTCGGAAACCCAAGGAGGGGACGCTATGAGTCGAGGCCGACTTGACAGCACACAACAACAACAACAAACCCACATTAGGGTTCCATGTACCTCATATACTTTATTCATAAGCTATCTACACTTCTAGCAAGATGGCAGAATAAGGACACAAGCTACACAGACCCTCAGCAACAAAGAAATGAGAAACCAATTGAAACCAATACAGAAGATGATGCTGGAACCCTGAGCTTTGAAGAACCCACCAAACCCACTGCCTTCAAGTTGGATCCAACTCATAGTGACCCCTCCTTGGGTTTCTGAGGTGGTATCACTATGGAAGTATATTGCCCAACCTTCCTTCTGAGGAGCAGCTGGTGGTTTTGAACTACCAGCCTTCTGGTTAGTAGTCAAATGCCTTAGGCACTACACAACCAGAGCTCCTGAGCTTTGAAGGGAAGGATTAAAAAAAAAAAAAAAAAAGTGCATTAAATAAAAACTAGGAGAAGAACCTGAATGAAAACAGTGAGTAAAGAGACAAATGGAGCTGCGGACTGCCA